GCGTGCCCATTTCAGGCATTGGAACACGTTACGCAGGGCAGTGGTGGAGTCCCCATCCCTGGAGGTAATTAAGGGTCATGTAGGTACAGTGCGCAGGGACATAGTTTAGCGGTGGGTTTGTCAGTGTTAGGTTAATGATTGGACTAGATGATCTGACAGGTCTTTTCCAATCTAGGAGATTCTGTGATTTACAAACAAGAAGTAAGGGAGGTATTCCAGTTCAGCTTGGACACCACCCTTGGCTGCACAAGCAGCCACAATTATGAGGAGATGAGGTTCCCGAGGCTCAGCCTTCACCACCTGCACCACTGCTGGGCGTCCCAGAGCTCTCCCCAGCTGGGGAGGCTGGGAGCCCACGCTGAGCACTGGCCACATCACCCCATCCCCTCCTCTGGCTGGGGATGCAGCGGCCCATCGACGCTGCCATGAGTCCCCTCACGGGTAGAAGCATCTCTTGGGCCATGGACTTTGACACAAGTCTACTGTTTTATACCTGTTACTAGTGACTGCCCAAATACATATTCTCTGTGGGTCAGGTTGTTTCTTATGGTTAGCTGGGGTCTCTCTCATGAAGAAACATAACAAAACCAGTGGGGGAGTGGAAGGGCAGAACGAGGAGTCGCTCCCGCTGGGTGCAGTGACTGCAGCCGAAGCACCATCCTGGTGGCTGCTGTTGTAAAAACTCAGAGCAGGCCCACTAAGGGTTTGTCACGGAAAGCCACTGTAAAGGGAAGAGGTGTTGACAAAATGTTAATGTGTGTAAATATGAATTCCCGATGCGTTTTTCTGGAGAACGGCCGCCCAGGGTGTGTGGTGTGCTAAACGCACTGGCCCAGCACTGCCTTTGAAAATGTGTTTCATACCTGAAATTACAAAATTTACCATGACTTTACGAGACGTGCAAGAAGTAACAGTATGCTGTCCCAGACCCACGTGGCTGCTGCTGAATTTGGCAGAATAGAGGGCATGCGGGTGCCACGAAGCCGAGCGGCCGTGACCTCCCTGCCCAGCCGGCGCTGTGGGGGCTCCCCGCAGGCTGGCCCCGGGGGGCTTCTCTTCCACCTGACCAAGAGCCGAGGTTGCCCAGGGTCAGATCCCCCTCAGCTGCGTGCAACGTGCCGCCGCTTCATCTTTCCACCCGCCGTATGGGAACAGGTTGTCCGTACGGCACTGTGCCTGCTCCCACAGCTGGCCAGCTGTGGGGCTTGCAGGTGGGTGCCCCGGGGCACCGAGCAGTGAGGCAAGACGTCCAGCTTGCACTTGCTGGTTTAAATTTGTTACAGTCAATGATGTCACCTTGACATCAGTCTCGCTAGTTTATGTTTCTGTCTTAATTTTCCGGGTGAAGAAGCCTATAATGTGGTGTAGGAGTGAGGCGGTACTCCTCCATCCATAATAGCAGTATTCTGGATGAGTTTCTGTATGAGACCACTTAGTGGGGACTATGTCCTTGAGCAATTCATGTAGTCTAAATTAGGGAACACTTGAACTTAGGTAAACCTTTGAGAAGCTGTTTTCAGTCGGTGGCACATTTCTGAATGATAGAAGCAATAACTTACCTGAATAAGTATATCACATCTGTTGTTGACTGACTAAATTTTATCCCTCTCCAAAAGTTTTTGTCCTTCAGATGCATTGCTGAAAAAAAAATGGAGGAAGTGGTAGTACATACACAATCGTAACAACAGTTTGGGTTCTGGTTTTGGCTTAGTGGAAACTGTAAAGGGTCACAAATTGTTTTGGAAGCCTGTTGACAAAAATAGCACACGAATACCAGCAGGAGGTTAGACTGCTTTCTGTTTGCAGACCACACATTAACATGTTATGTATTTTCTCTGAAGGAAGTAGAAATTCGAAACAAAGACCTGGAAGGCCAGCTGTCTGATCTAGAGCAACGTGTGGAGAAAAGTCAGAATGAGCAAGAAGCTTTTCGCAATAACTTGAAGACACTTTTAGAAATTCTTGATGGAAAAATACTTGAACTAACAGATTTACGCAATAACTTGGCCAAGCTAATAGATTGCAGCTAAAGAAAATGGGATTTCAGTGTCAATCTGCTTAAAGATGCACTGTCTCTCTTCATAGGACTGTGTTGGGCTCTGCATCAAAGTTGCACAAAATTAGGAAATGCTCCTCTGAGAGGGCTTGTTTTAAATTTGAGTCATATTTCAATGTAAAATTTAGAACTCAGCTTGTAGCTAGTTGAAGAAAAAAACAACAAACAAAAAAACTTGAATTACAAATTACCTCCTTGTACATTATTGGCCATAGATAACTTGAAAGATATTAACAGTAATTGAATGCAATCCTTTTCTAATTATCAGTGATGGAGGAATTAGCAGTGTCCCACGTCACATCCCCTTTTTGTGATAGATACAATATAGGTTATCTGCTGTTTTATTTATTTAAGATATTTAATTGCTCTGTTTTGTGCAAGAACTTAGTGATGACAGCCCTGTATTTTGTTGTTCTTAATAATTTCTCAGGATACTTTGCACTGTGGAGAAGCAGTGCCATTACCAATTTATTCTTGCCAGGAGTGAGAGAGTTGCATCTTTAATTGAAACAAGGTTACTATAACTGCTTGTATAAAGTTCTTCCTTTTGGGGTTTTTTCGGTTGGTTGGTTGGTTGTTTTTTTGTTTTTTTTATATATATATATATCTAATGGAAGATACCGTATTTCTTTATGGAGCTTACTCTGGTGTTCTACAATATTGTCCAATGTAAGGTTTACTTTTTCATATGAATTCCATGTAATTACAGTGAGATACTATCTTCCACTTACTATATTTTGAAGCCAACCAATGATGGAAGGTGAGTCCCCCAGGAAAAAGAAAAAAAAAAAAAAAAAACGGGCAGAAACCCCCTGAGAATTTTAAATGTAAAATTTGACATGCACAGATAACAAGGAATAGCCAGTCATTTGTTTTCTGGCCTTGATACATATATTGAATATGTATGTTCAATTAACTGTTAACCTGTTCTGCAGGAGACTTTTTCAGAATGTCACACGAATTTCAGGTTTTGTGAATAATGGCTTATGGGGAGCACTGTTTTATTAGAGATTGCATTAAGGGCATAGAGCTATTGCAAGAGATTACTCGTACACTGAACTTGTCCAGCCAAGAAAGCTGTTTCTAGAAGCTTTGTTGTCATAACAAATTGAAATGGAGACATGTTTACTCTTTTATGGGTCTTCATATCACATCTTTATTGAAACTACACCAGGCAATATTCTGAACTGTTAACTAAATGTTTAAAAACAGGAAATTGAATTCAATTATCCTCAGTGAGCAGGTTTTAAAGTTGTTTTGATGTAATTTTAACAGACTTTTGGCAAACACACATTTCTTTATATAATAGATTTATTTAAAAAAAAAAGAAACCTCTTTGAAAGGTAAGCCAAGTGTCATGTGTGTCTTGCATCAAAGTACATTCTTGCCATAAATTGCTTGTAATGTTGAAGAGGGCTTTTTTAAAAATGTATGAATGAGTGTTAGGCTTCGGTGTCAAAAGATGCACGGACCTTTGTTTGCTCCCCAAATTAATTTGAATGTTAAACATGAAATCTAGCTGCTTATTAAATTTGTACAACACAATTTTCTCCACTTAGAGACTGCTATTCAAAACTAGAAAAGATAAGTTTGTTTTTATGTGTGTACTCTGTGTATATACCATATAATACACACAGGTTCTCATTTATATCAGAAATACATGCTTTATTTCTAAAATACTGTTTTTTTTGTTTACCAGTGATTTATCAGGTCTCCCCTGACTAGTCAGGAAAATGGTTTAGGTCAAATGCTAAACCGTGATGTATTATACTGTATGTAATGTACACAATGTTTAAGTTTCCTCCATATTTTTAGGGTATTTTCTCACCTATTTTATTTATTGAAGGGATGGGGGGAGCTTGTTTCAGCGTGCTGCTGGTTGAAAACTTTGTGGTGAGCTACATGTTTTTCGTTCGGTGGATTTTAGACGGTGGTGTGTATATCTTCATCAGGTCCAGATGAGCAGATACAACTACTTTTTAATTTACCTGGGGATGTTTGGGCCTGATTCTCCTGTCACTTGAGCTGCTGTAAAACAGATGTGTCCTTGATTTTATGTCAGCAACATTCAGTTGGCATAGCATCTGTAGAAGTACAAGGAGAATCTGGCCCGTTAATGCTCAGTGGACATAATAAGGATGAAGAAAGAATAAAAACACAGAAAGTTGATGGTGGAATAAATGTAATATTATTTTTAATGATATTATTATTGACATTTTTAAAGATATGATGTCATTTACATGTGGGAAAATAGTGGACAGAAATATTTCCACTTAAATTTTGTGAATATGTGTGGTACATGAGTATTTCTATGTATACGTACACACACATATGTATATACAGAACATGGAACAATTTAGATGTGCACATTTTTAATATTTTCCTATTGAAATTAAATTTAAAATTGGAAATTGATATTTGAGAATTTCTTTTCTCATAGAGTAGATACGCTTCATTTCTTTTTTTTTTAAATAATACGATTTCTGAGGGCTGCACCTTTGAATTCCCAGATAGTTGCCAAACATAAATATGGGATAAGGTGGATATACGTGCACATATAAATAAAATCCTATTGCTACGACTATTTTAATGTTTACGTACAGTAGGTGAGTGTTTAGAAATTGTGACCTAAAGTTCATACTTAGGTGGCTATACCTACTGTAGCCTCTCCACTTCTGTTTTAAGATAAAAGTTTGCCTGTTTGTTTGAAACATTACTTTCCCAGAGACAGGTATTATACATTGTGTCTGTCTTTGATGAAACTATAGGAATATGGATATGAGAAAATGTTGTTGAGTACTATAGCCTGAATATATGACCACGAACTTGCACTGGAGGGGAAAGCAGTCACATCGCATATAACTTGTTATGTGGCAACTACGGTCTTGTAAAAAGAAAAAAGCATAAAGAATTACCAAAAAACCTAACAGAAATACCCAACAAAAAAAGAAAAAAAAAAGAAAAATAAAAAATACATTTTTTTATTTTGAAATACACTTGCTGTTCTCTGGAGAATGTACTCTTACTCTTTTCTTTTTTTTTCTTAAATCTTTTTCAAGTATGTGCAAGTGATAGCAGCAGCTACCTTAATCTTTCAGGTGCTACTGGATTTTGCATTAGCGTGTTATGTTGTGAAATCCTGACTTTGACATAAAAGATTTTTGTAAGTATATCCCCGTCTGCATAGTTAGTTTTTGGAGTGTCTTGTTCATAATCCATATGCCTCAATGATCCAGAAATTGCATTTTTCTATGGGGATGAAGTAAAACATGTGAATTATTCTGCCTGTTACAGACTGGGAATTCCTTTTCCTGGCAAGTATATCCAGGAAAGAGGAGAACAAAATGAACTGATAATGGAGAAATGCTGTTATAAGGTCTCTAAGAAAATACATTTTCAGGTAAAATATAAATAAATAAAGGGCTAAACCAGATGGAACACAAATAAGTATCGTTTAATGCTGACGGTGGCATTCCCAGGACAATTCCTTTAAAGAAAACCCTGCAAGAATGAACAATGCGTCAATTAAAGAGTAATATTTTGGGATGTGTCTTTTCAGTTGTCAGTTGTGAGAAGTTTCTGATTTCTGGTCATTTTTCTACCAGTTGGGGATTAACTTTAGGTTTACCATCAATAAGAGGGTAAACCTCAATTTGTTCTAACATATTTTGTATTCTGTACTGAAGTGGCTACTGAACAGCGCTCTGTGAACACTGCATTCAAAAATAAAAACCTTTTTTGGAAATACCACCTGGAGAGAGGAATGGAAAACTGTTGCAGACCTTAATTCTCTGCAGAACTGTGGATGTCAGTAAAATCACTTAATTTGGCTGATTCCAGAAATCTTGGATCTTGAGGCCAAAGATAAATCTGATTAGAGATTAGGTCTGGATGTCAAAAGACAATTAAAAAAAAAAAAGGACCTTCAAGAAACCCCATCCAACAAGCGTAGTTCAGTCTCAGTAACTGGACATGCCAGCTAAGTGCACAGCTATACACTGATTTTTTTCAGGAAATGGACCTGACTCTGCAAAGCAATGTTCTAATTGTCTTGTTTACATTTTCTTAGTAATGCTGCATATATGCACTACCTCTGAATGGTGCTAAGCAGAGAACATATCACGGAATAACAGATACTTTTTAAAACCTCTATTTTTTGCTCAGTAGCATTAGTTCCTTGTTTTACTCCATTTACTTCAGAAAAGTAGGATTAATTTTCCCCATTATGTTAAATGTTTGGGAACAATGAACAGAGTTTTGTGTTAGATCCTGGAGTCAGTTCAGCTTGTGTCCACTCTTGCGGCCGTGCACCGCAGCCAGAAAGCCGGTGCAGCTGTTTATATCACAATACTCGCATTACCTCTAGACACTGTCGATAGAAGTGGGTTTTCACACCGTATGGGGTCTCGTAGCTTGCCCACCGCAACCTCTCAGGGACCTGTAGCTGCCAGTATTGCCTCTGCACTGCTGGCAGCTCATCCTAGGACCAAAGAAACACGAGCGTAATTTATACCCGCTTTCTCCCTCATTGCCGGGTCTTGCACAAGCAAAGCTCAGCTGCAACAACACATCTGGCAGTTTGTGTCATTCTCAGATACAGGCATGGGAAGGAGGAGTCACCATCAGAGACATTTTAGATTTGGGGTTGGGGGACACAAAGAGTTGACAAAAAGATTGCCTTCCATGGAACCGGTCGCTGTAAAATGGGCGAGAGTGGTTTGCACAGCAAAGGACAGACCACCTGAACTGCCGGCAGCGACAAAAGGCTCATTAGAAAGGATCTCACTTTCCTTAGGTACTCCCATCACGCTAATACTGAGCACACCTGGCTTGCCCCAAAGCTCTGCCCTGACTGCTACAGGCTTCTCAAGGTCAGCGTCAGGTGTGTGTTCCATGAACACAGCCAAAGTTCTGGCTGCCTGCAAACCCCGTGTCCTTCCAGTCTTTTATCTTCACAACTCTAGAGGTTTGGTGTCGGTATTAGTCATTGGTAGTGGTTGACAACACTCCCTATTTTTTCTGACATCAGTTCCTATCACCTGTGGTGTTTGTGTAACAAAGTTTTGAGCTGGATTTTGGGGATTTTCTTATTTTTCTTTTAACTTTGAAGTAGTTTCAGACCTTGTCTGTTCCTGCTCTGGGGGTTCTCGTCTGCTCTCATCCAAGTCTCATCTAGCAGCATTGGATCCGGCAGTGTGTCAGACGCTTTTGCTTCCACTAGATCCAGAATAGCAACCTAGAAGTTTTCTTGGAAGACAACATGCTTTTCTGTGACTGTGGCAATTCTTGAAGAGGAAGAATTTTTTTCCCAGTAGATCAAGGAGGAGGCAGAGCCCAGGACCTTCACAAACAATATGTGCATCCAGGTGCTAAGGGGACAGGAAAAGCTGCACTGACGAGGTATGTTTAAGTATAATCTGCATTTATGGGTTTCCCCATTTTGAGATAAATACGGTCATGCAGATATATGCAAGCCTAAGATTTTCTGAGAGGGAACAAGGCTTTTGAAATTCTCGGAGTCTGGATTGTATTTTGTTAAATGATGACAGGAATTTTCTCTAAACAAAACAGGAATGGGAAGCAAAATGATCTGGTACTTCCCGGCAAGAGAGACATCGCAGCCCTTACCTGTGGATGGAAATGTAAAAATTAAGTCTACTTTCTCTGCATCTGAATATACTGTTATTTTTATAGCTCCAGCAGTGTTGTTTCTCAGGAATCTGCAGCAATGGGAACTAGAAATCTATCAG